CATTTTTTGGGAAGATGAGGTTGGCAAAAGGTGCACGCGAGACTGTAGCGAGAGCTCGATTTCACGTAAAAATCGAAAACTGACGGTCTCAGACCAATGTTGGAAGATCAAGTTGTCATTTAACTGATTCGTTCATGTCATGTTCGTTTTCATTTCAAATCATTTCAATTTCATTTCGTTTAAATTTCATTTCATTTCTAGTCATCTCAGTCATCTCATTGATTCAATGATTCATTCATTCATTCATGCATGCATGCATGCATGCATTTATTAAATCAATCATTCCTTCCATCCGTACATTCATTCCATTCACTCCAGTCGTTTAAAGCATTTCATTCATTTCATGTCATTCTCATTTCGATTCATTTCCTTCATTCATTCGTTTCATTTCATTCCATTTCATTTCATTCATTTCATTTGCATTTCATAACGCTCATTTCATTAATTACATTTTTTTCATTCATTCCATTTTTCCATTCATTTAATGCATTTTATTCATGTCATTTCATTGCGTTTCGTCTCGTTTCATTTCGTTCATTCACTCATTCATTCATTCATCCATTCAATCATTCATTCATTCGTTCATTCATGCATGCATGCATTCATTCGTTCCTTCCATTCGTTCATTCATTCCATTCATTCCAGTCATTCACTGCATTTCACTCACTTCATTTCATTTCATGTCATTTTCATGTCGTTTCATTACCTTCATTCATTCGTTTCATTTTCATTTCATTTCATTTCATTTCATTTCATTCATTTCATTTCATTTCATTTCATTTCATTTCATTTCACATTCATTCATTTCATTCATTTCATTCTTTCATTCATTCCATTCAATCCATCCTTTTAATGTTTTTTTATTCATTTGATTTCATTGCGCTTCGTTTCGTTTCATTTCGGTCATTCACTCATTCATTCATGCATGCATTCATTCATGTGTTTTTCAGTCATTCATCCTTTCAGTCACTTATTGCATGTGTTTTCATTTTTTGCATATCATTTCATTTTAGCTCACTTCTTTCCAACTCACCAACAATTCCTATAAGCAAACTGGTTCCTATAGTCATGTCATATTTTCGAAACTTCCGCCCCGGCGTGTGCCCGGCACTATCTGGTATGTTTATAGATGAAATATGATGAACTGGTGTTTAGCAGGGAATGAGGTAATGATCCGCAATAACTATCAATAATCATCCCATTCCCCCATTCCCATCCATTCCCTACTAAGCACCAGTAAGGTTCTGAACGTTGGCAAATTTGAAAAATGGCAGTGCTAAGAAGGTTTGGTCGCAACATGCCACAGTAGCTGCAAGGTGGTGAAACTGGGTGACCTGTTTCTCTCTACCTTTGTGTCCCTCCTTGTATCTGGAGTGGTGGCAACAACACGTAGCCCTGTTTTATGTAATGTGGGTAAAACAATGCCATAAACCAAAAATAGGTGGTATAAACAATTTCCAAATGGTTTATCATTGTTTTAGCCACATTACAGGCAATCAAAAATTTGAGATAACTGGTTATGGCCAAGAATCATCAAGAATCACTTAATCAACATTTGGAATGGACATGGCGACATGGTCATTGTTTTTGAAGGCAACGTTTATCTAGTTCCCAAGTTTCTTGGCCCAGAAGTGAGAATATCTGAGAAATCTGTGGTAAATACATTAAGTACCTGAAATTGTTGCAGAAACCCATCAGATGTTTATCCTCAAAAAGGAATGGTTTCACATATGTGCTGTACATCATATTTACATCATAATGACACATATTTTCATTGTTTAGCCATGCGTGAGAATGGAATGGTTGCATCATATTTACATGTTTACATCATTTGTAAGTTATTCAACCATAATTGTGGAATTGGAAAGTTGCCATGTTTTAAACAAGTAAATTGAATTATATTAGCATATTTGACCATATCATGTATTCAACTAACCAAACTTGAGAATGGAAGGGTTACATCAGATTTACATCAAATTTAAGTCACTTAACCATATACTCAATGGCTCGGTTTAAGGGAAAACCCACAGGAAACAATTTTTCCCCCAGCAAATATGTGGTTTTCCTGTCGATTTTCCCTGAAACCAATCCCATGAGTATACAATGATTAATGGTTACATCGTATTTAGATCTTTACATGGTATTTAAAGAATTTAAGTCATTTGACAGAAGAATGCATTGTTCGGAAGACCTACCACTTGGAGTATCAGTATCTGTCACCAATTCTACAAGGCCGAGGTATGAATTTGGTAATGCATGCCACACTGATAGTTTCCTTTCCGTAAGCCGTCCAGCATTCCTTTCCATAAGCCGTCCAGCATCCAGCAGGGTCCCGGTCGAACAATCTGTTGATCCGGGTTTTTGGCTCTAGAACCGAGGAAAAGAGCGCTTTGCAGTTCTGGGTTGTTGACCACACGTTCTTGGTTAACCATATAATGATTGACACTCCAACGGGTCTTTCACATGGACCAGTTGGGGCGGAACGGTGCGGTGTTCAGTTTTCACGCGTCCATCTCACAGGTCATCGAGCTATCAGGTGCGGAGGTCAGTGTGGCCAAGGAGAGTATCATTGGCCGCTTGGAAAAAAATGAATAGCCTGGATTTGCTGAAAATGTTTTGTGTGAGATTTTTGCAGGTGCTGTTTTTTTTTGTTTTTGTTTACTAATGTGTTTTTTCCTCAAACTGATGATGATGATGATGATCATCATCATCATCCTAATCATCATTGGTTGCCACTTAAGAACAGTGTCTCTGACAGGAAAATACCCGCAAAAAATGGTATGTAAACGTATCAAATAATGTTTCTAACATGAGATGCAAATTCACAAACTTAAGAATGCATCCCAGATCGTAGGGTATTAGTTTGTAGGGGTTTGCCCGTTCATGATTTTCAGGAATGCCTACCTGATCTCAGAAATGCCTAGGTGATTTGAAAATGACATAGGCATTTCTGAAATTTAGGTAGGCTAATCTGAAATTTGGTAGACTAATTTGTTGTTCAGAACGTTGTGCAAACAAATGTGGCTTCATTTCTTTTACAAAATATTTTAAAAAATATATATTTTCAAAAAGATAAAATCTAAAATATGGTAAAACGTTGATTGAACGTTTACCTGCGGTTGTGTTATTATTGTGAAGAGTCTTCTTAGTAGACCTCACCTGCGTGAATTGAATCATGTCATTGCTTCGATCATGTGTGTGACTTGTGTCAATTTTGTCAATTGAACCGGTCAATTCTGTCAAAAAAAATTAAAAAAATGTCATTTTTTAAAAAAATAAAATAAAAAATCACTAGGCAAGAAATCATGCCATGCCCAACATGCTTTGACCCAAGCATGCAGAAACACAAATCGACAATTGTCCAAGTGGGCAAAAGAATGAAGATGAGAAGCTGAACTCAATTAGTCAGTCAGTCAATTGTTTCAATTGCCACAATCAGCTGAAGTCAATTGATCCAATTGCCACTTCTCGCCGAGCCTGCAAGCAAGTTATTAAGAATTACTTTTGAAAAAATGCAAGCAGGACCAGCAACAAACAGTAGGCAGGCCTAGAGCGTCATCCAGACCTGATCTGGTTCTTGAGTCTTGCTTTGGGAATGCGAATGGGAATTGATATTAATAAATGTCAAAGAAGTCAAGCATGCCTGCATTGAACCCTTGGTAGCGGAGCAAGCTTGGTAGCGGAGCAGAACAATTCCAACCTCAGTACACATATTTGAAGTACAAAAAGCCAAAGGGCTAATGACTCAATTGAGCTAATTGACTGAAGCACATGAGATGGCAAGCGCTGAACTTGCAGTGCTCTGTCACTGATTGCGCATTTTTTTTGCTGGAGCAAATGCCATGTTGCCTCTTGACCCCACAGAGACGGTCAAAGTTGACAGAGGGACGCACCACTCAGGTCCAGGTGAGTCAGCACAAAAGAACCCTTGGGCTATAGTACTCTTGTCGCATTCAAGACACTTTTGAATGGACAACGCTGAGCAAATTGAGCGTTGTGAAGTTTTCACGAAGCTCGAATCTGCTCGTAGATTTGGGCGACACAAGCGCCAAACTCTGGCGTGTAGTGCTCGCTTTCGATGAGCATCTCCTTATTGCCAGTGTAAGTGTGGCTTCCATCCCAGCTCTGGCCACTGGAAGCCAAATTGTCCAAGCCATCTGGCCTTGGCCTGGCGATGGCTGCAAATAGAGAGCCAGGCCCTGAAGACGGATGCCAGATCTGGAGAGGCTTGCTTGTTGGGCCAGCAAAGCTTCCCATGTAGGTCACTGTCTTCTTGAAGTCGAAGAACCACAAAACATTACGAAGGGATGGTAGTTTTGGAAGCACACTCCCTGTGGGTTGCTCCAACACCGGAATGCAATCCAAGAGGAAACTGAAGAACATCATCATTGCAGTTACTTCCTGTTGAAGGTTGCCCTGCTCCACCCATGGCCTGCTTCTATCCCCGTAGAATGAATTCTCCTCATATCTCATGCTTTGAGAGATACAGAGCGGGACGAAGCTCGAGCATCTGGTAGCAAGCCAGTGTAACGACTTTCGCCGAGAAGCCACTACCATGTCAAACCAAGTCCTCAGCCCCTTGGAACTCAACATGTCATGGTGGGGATGAAAAAGAATGTCCACAGAAGCTCCTTGGTGAAATCCTTGACGCAGCATCTCTCAACTGAGATGGGCTCGGCCAGCACAAAACTCAACAAATTCCAATTGATCCAATTCATTGAAATTGACCAAATTGAAAAGAAACCTTTCAGCAACCAGCACCATCATCTCCAAGCACGATGTTGCGCCGCGCAAAAAAGGATATGCTTCACACAAAAATGAAGGCCACACTTTCGAGGCCCTGCCGCCATTCTCTTGGTCAAAATCAAGAAAGTCTTGGCATGTGGACTTGACATGATGCAGTCCTTCTGGCCAGTCGACACGCCTGCAGGGCAATTAACAAAATGGACTTCGAGGTTATTCATTGATCATCAAAGAATGATTTCAATTTCAATGCATGTTGTCTCAATTTTCCAAGAACAAAAACAGCATCAGCGCCTATTGAATTTGCTGAAGGCCAAGAAATCATAGAAATCTAACGAAGAAATCTGTTGGAGCTTGTCATCCAGCCATTTCTCTTGATCGTCATCTTCTGAAGCTGCACTTGGGCCTTGAAGGCTGGCACTGGCTGTCACAGTGGACAGCACCATCACCGGAAGAAACGCGAGGCCAGCTTGCTGGTCCATGATGAATAAATTGACACAAATGACCAAAATGGCAAAACCAACAAATGTGCTCATGGGCCAAAAAACCTGCGGTAAAAGAATTAATCAATCCAGTACACAATTTTGTTTGGTTTCTTCACTGACAACAATACCAGTCCAAGGCTTCTGACCCTGCGTATAAAAGTAAAGGCTTCCTGAGTCCTTGGCCTGATGATGAATCTGGCAGCCTGCATTGGCATTGAAAGACCATCCCGGCACAAACTTCAAGCTTCAATACCACTGGCCACTACACAAATCAATCTGGTTCAAGTCAATTGAGTCAATTCACAATGACACATGACAAGCAGGCCCCAACATTTGACAAAGCATTGAAAAATACCATCCAGGTGCAACCCTCAGGCTGTAATACCACACAAATCAATCAATTGAGTCAATTCACAATAAACACAAGCAGACCCCAACATGTGACAGGATTATTTGATTCCTTTTTAAACAGAACAACGAAGGTAAAGTATCAGTCAATGTCTGTTACATTGATGATGAAGATGGTAAGCAATCAATCCTACTGTATAAGAGGACTTCAGTTGTCAAAGCAACTCACCACATAGACCTATTGAAAATAACTGATGGAGACAATCACCACTATGTTTATATCAAAGATTTTAACAAATTGATGTATTAACAGGCTGGTAAGCGGAAAGCAAAGAAGTTTATTTGTCATCATTGTTCGGGTGTGTTTCATTCAGAGGATGATTTAACCAATCATAAGGAAAAGGGATGTATGGCAGGGGAAGGGCAAACTATAGAGATGCCAAAGTTTGACCCAGAGAACCCTGACAAGTTCTTCGTTAAATTCAAGAACCACTTTAAGAAACTAAAAGCACCATTCGTTATATATGCTGATTTTGAATGTTTGACTACCAAAACAGGAACAGTAAGCACCAAACCAATCAAGACTGACAAATACCAACATCACAGACCCTGCGGTTTTATGATAAATGTTGTCAATTCAATTGATGCTTCAAATGAACCATTCCTATATAGGTGTGAGGATTGTATGGATGTCTTCGTGAAAAAGATGATTGAAGTAAAAGATAAGATAATGGAGAAGATGAAAGAAAACAAGGACATCATTATGAAGGACGAAGACTGGAGGGACTTAAAACCGCCACTAAATGTTTCATTTGTGGTGAGGACTTCAAGGAAGGAGACAAAAAGTGTAGAGACCATTGCCATTTTACAGGTAAGTATAGGGGATGTGCCCACGATGACTGTAATTTACAGTTTTCAATGCGTTATTACAAAATTCCAGTCTTCCTTCATAACTTGAAGAACTATGACAGTCATTTAGTCATTGAAAGAGCCAATCAACTATCTGAAAATGCCAAGATAGATGTAATAGCACAGAACAGTGAGAAGTTCATAACCTTCGCATTCAAGAATATGTGTTTCAAAGACAGTTTTTCATTCTTATCGTCCTCATTGGACAAGTTGGTCAAGTTGAGCAAGTATGAAGATGGACAGAAGAAAGAAAACTGGCAAAACAACTTCAAGTTCACTAAAAGAAACCCCTATGTATATAAGTAATGACATTGATTTAGACTTACTCACTGACAAAGGTGTCTATCCATACGATTACTTCACTTCATTTGACAAGTTTAGAGAAAAACAATTACCACCGAAGAAAGCGTTTTACAGTAATCTCACCGAAAGTCATATTGAAGATGATGAGTATGAAAGAGCACTTAAGATATGGGAACATTTCGGTATAAGAAATCTTGGTCAATATCACGACTTATATTTGAGAACTGATGTTTTATTGCTTACTGATGTCTTTGAAAATTTTAGAGACCTTTGTTTGGAATACTACGGTTTAGACCCCGTACATTATTTTACACTTCCTAACTTTGCTTGGGATGCTATGCTTCTAAAAACTGGAGTGGTGTTAGAACCGATTACCGACCAAGAGATTTATGAAATGATTGAGAGAGGTTTGAGAGGTGGAATGTGTCAAGTGGGTCATAAGGAGGCAAAGGCAAACAATAAGTATATGAAAGACGAATATGATGAAACAAAACCATCACCATCTAACTACATCAACTATTTAGATGCCAACAACCTTTGTGGACTGGCAATGTCAATGAAACTACCCATAGGAAAACTCAAATGGATAAAGAAGATGCTGACGGAACAGATGATAGTGGACTGGAATGAGAACGACGACAATGCCTACATTCTTGAAGTTGATTTAGAGTATCCACAGGAGATACACGACGAACATAGTGATTACGCATTAGCACCAGAGAATATGAACATCACCGAAAACCTACTTTCAAATCACCAGAGGGAACTACACAGAGACTACTAC